TGTGGCACAAGCCCATCTCTGGAGTTAGAAGGGAAGGGAAGCAAGAGGTGGCATCTCTGCTTCCTGCTGGGGCTGTGGCTGGTTCATTTCCTGTTATCTTCTCAGCTGAGAAAAAAATAGTTGGAGGGAGCTGAGAAGAGGAGGTTTTGGAAGAAAAGTGGAGACTGGAAAATCCTCCAGGCCTTCTTGATGAGGTTTAAGACTCACATGTGATGTGTGAAATGAGTTGGCCAGGAGTCAGAGCTCCGAGAAAGTGCTGCGTTGGTCCTTTTGGGGTTTTGCACACCAACACTGCCGGCTTCAGCAGTGGAGCATGAAGTTCTTGGCGAGGCTGGAGAACCAGCTGGAAAACTGAGGGGGCTGGGACGTAGGGGGCTGGGTGGGTCTGGGCCATAACACCCCCACCCCTGCGCTTCCCCAGGGAGGGCAGAAACCCTGTATGGGTGGCCTTGGCTAAACATCTGCTTGGAGCAGGAAGCAGGGCAGGGACAGAGGGGCTTCTTGTGGCTGGAAGCAGCCCAGAGCCCACATGAAAGTGAAGGACAGTGGCACACTTAGGTGGGGCTTTGCTCTAAGCCGCCCCTGTGCAGCAGCCAGAGGGGGACAGCATTGGACAGTCTGACAAAGCAGCCCGGCCTCTGGGGTGAGGGGTCTGCACCCCACCCTCCTATCTCCTGCCTGTAATTCATCTAACCCCTTGGCGTCTCTACCTCCCTCTGGAATATGTGGTTAATTGTGTCTGCCTGGTGGGATTGTTGAGAGGGTTAGAAGGAACATATGCACATTCTGGGGCAAAAAGGAACTGACCCAAGTAACTTTGGAAAATGGTGCTTTCGACTAGAAACTATAAGGCTAAAGGCAAAAGGAACTGTGTGTAAACACTGTACTCTAGTTGGTAAAGTAGTTTCCCAAGGGCTAACAACCTTGAAGCTGTTATACCTGCATACTGGGGTTGAACAAGTGGGTAAATGGACAGTGGGTGGTGGGAGCCTTCCTCCCAAGTTGTGCTGGGGGAGCCACAGTGCTCAGCTGGGCCAGGATGGTGCACTGCAGTCCAGACGCTGGTCGGTGAGCTGTCTCACCGGAACATACTTAAACATTGCATCGAAAATCAAAGTCTGCTGAATTACTATGGCTGAGTAACAAATTGCCCCCAAATTAGTGCGTGAATCTATGCCCACAGTTTCTGAGGGTCAGGAATTCAGGCAGGAGAGGGCTGAATTCAGAGGTGGGGGCTTACCTCTGCCCTGAGATGCCTGGGGCCCCAGCTGGAAGATTCAAAGGCTGGAAGTTGGAATCATCTGAAGGCTGGTTCATTCACATGTCTGATGGCTGGCTAAGACCTTTGCCGGAACTGTAGGCTGGAACACCTCCATGTGGCCTGGGCTTCCTTACAACATGGTGGCTGAGTCCAAAGGAGAGTGGAGAGAGTCAGAGACAGAGAAGGAACCCAGAGGAAGTCATATTGTCTTTTATGACCTAGCACTGAAAGTCTCCAAGCCTCACTCCTCCACATTCTGTTGGGGGAGGTAGTTGAAAAGCCCACTCTGGGGCTTCCCTGGTGGCGCAGTGGTTGAGAGTCCGCCTGCCGATGCAGGCGACACGGGTTCGTGCCCCGGTCTGGGAAGATCCCACATGCCGCGGAGCGGCTGGGCCGGTGAGCCATGGCCACTGAGCCTGCGCGTCCGGAGCCTGTGCTCCGCAACAGGAGAGGCCGCAACAGTGAGCGGCCCGCGTACCGCAAACAAACAAACAAACAAAAGTCCACTCTGGTTCCAGAAGAGGGACCCTGTCTCTCGATGGAGGACTGTCAACTTCACACTGTAAGAAGAGCACATAGGATGGGAGCACTGGTGTGGTCATTTTTGGAAAATACCTACAATCTCCCATAGCCCCTCCTAATTTTTTTCCCTTTCCCTGAGGTCACCACTGTTCGCAGTGAGGTGTGATTATCTCCTCTGTGCCTTTGCATTCATAGACAGTATAGACTTGGTTTAGGGCTTTGGGGGAGGGGATACCTATTTCGTTTTTATATAGGTGGAATTCCCTTACATCTTGATTTTTTCACTTAACATGGATTTACTTATTAGAACATGTGGATCTCTTTATTGCAGTATAGTGTTCCACAGTTTGGTTATGTTGTAATTTATTTAACTACCTGTTTATTTTGATGGATCTTTTAAAAGTTTCCTTTTATTTTCTAGTACGGATAATACTGTAATAAATATTTCTCGATGTGCTATTTCACCCACATACACAAAATGTGAACGTTTCCCAGCAAGGAGGTGTTAAGTAAATTGCTGAGTTGAAAGAGCCCACTTTTTTTTTTTTAATATTTATTTATTATCATTTTTATTTTTGGCTGCATTGGGTCTTCCTTGCTGCACCACGGGCTTTCTCTAGTTGCAGAAATCAGGGGCTACTGTTCGTTGCGGTGCACGGGCTTCTCATCGCATTGGCTTCTCTTGTCGCGGAACACGAGCTCTAGGCCCGTAGGCTCAGTAGTTGTGGCGCACGAGCTTAGTTGCTCTGCGGCATGTGGGATCTTCCTAGACCAGGGCTCGAACCCGTGTCCCTTGCATTGACAGGCGAATTCTTAACCACTACACCACCAGGGAAGCCCTGAAAGAGCCCACTTTGAATTGTAATGGGTGCTCCCAAATTTCCTTTGAGAAAGGCATTTGCTGGTAGAGTGTAAATGTGTTCATTTCCTTTTGTTCTCACCAGCACTTAGCAACTGTCAATTTTTTAAATTCTTGCTTGCCTTGTGGGTGAAAACAATATACTATATAGCATGTGTTTTTAATTTGTAGTTTCCTTCCTAGAGTTAGGTTGAACATCTTCTCACATGTTTATCAGCCATCTGCCCTTCTCCTGGGAATTGCCTGTTCATTTCCTTCACTGAACTGTTCATTTCAGTTTTACTGAAAAGCAGAGAAATGCAAATTTAAACAGTGAGATTTTTTTTTTTAGCAATGAAATTAAAAAACATTGACATGTATACACTGATGTGTATAAAACTGATGACTAATAAGAACCTGCTGTATAAATAAAATAAAATTCAAAGATTAAAAAAATAATAAAAAGATGACAAAGATTCTCAATGCTTGTGATCGATACATTTAAGTTTAGAAAAGCCACCCTATAATTACGAATGTTATCTTATATTTTCTTTCTAAACATTTTAAATTAAAAAGCAACCTCAGAGCCATAAAAAATAGTCTTAGTTGTCTTATATGAGGTGATACCAAAGTTGATTTTTTTAAAAGTGAATAAAAGTTTTCAGCATCATTTTTTTTTCTCCCAGACTTTTGTTATTTACTTTATCTCTTAAAAATTCAAATAGGTCATGTGATCTTTTTCTGGACTATCTTTGTCTTCCATTGATCTATTTAATTTTTGTGCTAGTACCCCTTGTTTTTAAAGGCAAGTCTCTTAATTTATTAGGCAAGAAAGAATACATTTGCAGTGTTTCCTCTTCCTGCCAGGGAACATTGGCTCTTTGTAGGTGTGACTTTCCATTGCTCAGTAAAGCTCTGTGGTATTTTGCTTTACATAGTGGCTTCTAGTTCTGGAGAGGAGTATATTCCTAGATGCTGGCTGTGCCAGTGGTGGTGGTGTTGCTTTCAGGATATTGGGATTGTTTTCAATCTATCACCTTTTGAGCTGTTGAGAATTTGAGATCCAGAGGACTCGAGTTGGTGAGACTGAGCAGGGGTTGGGGGGATATGGGGAGAAGTGTTTTGGAGGAAGTGTCTTCAAATCCTAAGACATCCTGGAGCAGAGAGAGACGGCAACCTGGAAGATGTGCCAGAGTGATTGTGTGTGGAGTGAGGTTTGTGCAGGTGGAGAAGCAGGAGGGGACTCGGAGTTGTGGGGTGAGAACCAGCCTGCCTTGCGGCTACAGGGATCTGAGGGGTAGAAAGAAGGCAGCTCCCCTAGGCAGGCAGGCCCCTGTCAGCTCATCCAAATGCTGTCCAACGTGTTCATCATTTATTTATTCATTAATCTGACAATTATCTCTAGAATGCTTGTTAATGTGTCAGTGTATTCCAGATGCTAGGGATATAGAGGGGGAAGCGAATGACGTCTCTCTCCTCATGGAGCTGACATTTAGGAAGAAGCAGATGAATGCAGGGAAGTTGTTATGCATATACATGCACGTGTTATAGAGTCTGAGGGTGATGGATGCTAGGTGGCTCTGATAGGTGCTGTTTCAGCAGAGATTGCAGTGACAGAGTGAGCCATGCGGGCCCTAGGGGAGGGTGCTCCTGGCAGAAGGTAGGGCAAATGCAAAGCCCAGAGGCAGGAGCATCCCTGGTATGTTTGAGTCCCTGGAGCTGAGCGAGGGTGAGCACAGAGGGGGGAGACTTGAGGAGGTGCCTGGGGACGCAGACCACGGAGCTCCAAGAGCCCTAATGAGGCAGCAGTGGCAACTCTGGAGTAGTGGGGGGGAGGCAAGATTTCAGGTCACCTGCTGCTGCCACAGTTCAAGGTAGGCCCACTTTGATGTTGGGTGATGATAGTACGTGTGTGAGCATGTATGTGGTTAAGTGAATATGGTCTGAATTTGTATGTGTGTGTGTGTATGTTTCTGCATGTTTAAATGTGTGTTTATGTATGTTTGAGTGTATGTGTGCCTGAGTGATTATGTGTGTGTTGGTATGAGTATACATGTGTTCACATGTGTGTAAGTGTCTATGTGTGTGTGTTTAGATGTTTGTGTCTATTTGTGTGTACATGTGTTTATATGTGTGTGTGTCTGTGCTTTATGTTTGAGTCCCTGACAATACACAAAGCAGGAAAGGTCCCGACAGGGAATGAGATCCTTGTGGGGAGCCTCTCTTGGCATCCTGGCTGGGTCTCTGTCCTTGCCATGGGTCACAGAACAGACCAGTGTCACTGATGAGGTCACAGAATAAAGCCAGGAGCCTAGTGACCATGGATGCCTAGAGGCCACTCGGCCTGGGGCCAGCGGAGGGCTTCAGCAACTGCCCGAGCCAACTCTCACCCAACAGCTGGAGCTCTGAGTCCCTGGGCACTGGTGTCGTCATGAAGCGTCACTTCATGGACCATAGGGGAGAACAGTCACCAATGGACGGGACCACCGTCAGCCTGGCCAGCCCAGGGTCCATGAAGGAGAGCGTGGAAGCGCACTGGTCGTGTGGGTCGAAAGAAGGGGTGTGGCCGGTGTGTCCCTGAGAGGGTGGTCCTGGAGGGGGCGGGGAGGGGAGGGCACCAGATTGCCCCTCGGTGCTGTCACCAAAGTGCTTTGTTGGCCATAAAAATGGACGTGGGTCTGACTGAGGCTGCTGTTGTGAGCACATGAGGTGATTTCAGAAGGTATGAGGATGAAATCTTAAAATGTTAGTCATATATTTTAATGTGCTTTGAAGAAAACAGAATTGACATGTCAGTTCTGTGATTTCAGCAGTGATGTAAAAAATTCCTTTATAATAAATAGATTAAAGTTAATCTAGAACATCAATTTGAAATGACCATGGGCAACACCTAAGGGTCACACCGGCTCTTGGGACTGAGTGACCGGCACCAGCTCTGGCTCCATCAGTCATTTCAATGCTTTGTGCCTCAGTTTCTTAATTTGTCAAAAATCATAACAATGGAATTTCTTAGGTTTTTTTTTTTTAATATTAAATGAGTTAAAATGTGGCAAGCACTTAGCACTTATACGGTGATGGGATCCAATGGATGTTCAAGGAAAGGGTGAGATGCCCCTGGGGGAAGACGAGACATGTTACAAATGCCAGGGGGAAGGTTGGGCTGAGTGGTCTGGCTGAAGCACTTCCCAAGTCTGGCTTCCTAAACTGGCTTTATTGAGCTGTGATTTAAATACACAAGCCTCACAGATTTTGTGTATAGTTTGAAGAATTCTGACATGTACACATTTGTTTAACCACCACAAAGATCATGACGCAGAATATTTTCATCACCCTCTAAAAGTTCTTAGTGACCCTTTGCAGTCAGTTCCCCTGCTGCCCTTAGCTTCCGGTAACCCCTGTTCTGTTCTCTCTCCCTATAGCTTTGCCTTTTCAAGAATGTCATCTAAATGGAATCAAATACTCTATGACCTTTTTACCCTGAGTTCTTTCATTTAGCAGAATGCATTAGAGACTCATCCATGTTTTGCATGTAACAGTAGTTTATTCCTTCTTATCAACAAAGAGGATTGCCCTGTGTGGGTAGGTGTCCCACAGTCTGTATTCAGCAGTTGATGGCCTTTTTGGGTTTAGTCAAGGCCTTGGATATTACATTCATAAATTATTTGATCCCCGTCATCACATCCATAATTTAAGATATATCTGTTTATACATTTGATCTTTATCCTTGCCCCAAGAGAAAGGCATTTCATCCCCACTTTATGGGGAAACAGGCACAGGGAGGAGAAAGTACCTGCCCAGGGGCCCCTGGAGCCTGCATCCTTTCAGAGATCTGAGGTGGGTTGTGGCACGGATCCCTCAGCACCGATGACAATGTCCTTCCGCCTCCCAGGGGCCTCTAAGAGAGAGGAGTCGTCTCCGCGGCCTGGCCTGGCCGTTACCCACGAGGAGGCCATCTACTTCTCGGGCAAGGGTCGGGGCCTGCTGGGCTGGAGCAGCTCGCCATCATCTCGGCCCTCCTCCGAGTACCAGTCCTACTCCCAGTACCAGTCTTGCTCTTCCAGCACGTGTGGCGGCGAGGACGCTGCCCGGCAAAGCATTTGCACCTTCTACACCCATGTGAAGACCGTGCAGGGTGTGGCCGTGGCCTGGGAGACCGACTGTGGCTTTGAGCCGGTCAGTCGGCAGCCCTGCATCCACGAAGCAGAGTTCATCAAGAGGCAGCGGCAGAAAGGCTCCTCCTTTGAGATGGCTTCCAACACCGACTTGCACTGGGAACTGGAAGACGGCAAGAACAACACCTGCCCAGAGCTGGACGACACGGAGCTGCTGGTGCCCTTGGAGTGCTGCCTGCAGGAGCTGCGGGTCACCCTGGACTGGCTGGTCACCACCAACCACGGGCTGCGGTGTGTGGCCTGCTGCCGGGTCTTCCCTACGCTGGGGGTGCTGCTGGAGCACACCCAGTATGGCATCCAAGAGGGCTTCAGCTGCCAGATCTTTTACGAGGAGTTGCTGGAGAGAAGGTGGGCCCGGGGCCAAGTGCAGGAGCAAGAGCCAGAGGAGGAGGGACAGAGCACTTCGGACAGTAGTGAAAGTCCATGTCAAGTTGCTTCCGTCACAGTCACGGTCAGAGAAGCAATGAGCTGGAGGTGATGTGCCCTGCCCTGTGCTCACCTCCGGCACCACAGCTGCTCCTTTCCCGGCCATCAGGACCACAGCCACGGGGGCAGGGAGAGAGGATGAGGGCCAGGGAAGGAAGCGTGCCGAGATGGGAGGGCCGTGAGAAGGGACGGGGGACGCACCCTCCAAAGGGCACAGCGTTTCAACTAGAGTCCATTTCAAAACCCGAATCAAGTGTTTCTGACGGAGGGTGCAAGACGTGAAGCCCGCAAGCTTGTGGCCAAGGCAATTCTTATTTTTTCTGGTGGGTCTAGCAGGTCGTGACTCACAGGAGAGCCAACTGCAAATGGAGCATCAGCCCTATTTTTTTTCATTGTTAGGAACTCATCATAGGCCCTAGTTCTATGTTTTATTTTAATGGGATTAAACTTGAATAACTCAAAGTTTAAGGCAATGACTAACTGAGTGAATCATGTTATTGGATTGGACCCACCGGAAATTGCCATTTCTGCAGGTTACACACTGGCACGGACATCCCGAGACAGCAGGTTCCCAGAGGTAGAGATGGGGGCTGAGTAAGTCCTGCTGACGCATGAGTTCAGATATGTCAACTCTGTTTTAAAAAGTTGCTACAGAATTTTTCTTTGCCCTTACAGGGGGCTGCATTCGTTCAAGAAAATACATGGATGGCCCACTGTGTGTTAGGCATGCTGATGAGACATGTACCCCAATCGTGCAGTGAGAGGCAGATGGGACAGACAATTGCAAGCCAAGGGGATGAATCACCTAAAGGCGGTTTGGGGAGCCCAGTGGAGGGCCCCCAAACTCATGCTGGTTGTTGAGGAAGGAAAACGTTCCAAAGAGGTAGGTGTTCACAAAGGCTGGGAGGACAGGCAGAATTAGTGAGACCAGGAGTTTTCTTCAGAGTCATTAAAACTAAGAAAGATTGTTTCTAGGAGCGGCTGAGCCATGTTAAAAGTGAGAGTGAGTGGGAGTGAGCTGAGGGTAAAATGTTTCCTTTCATTTGGCACATGGAGGTTGCTGATGGCTGTGATGAGAGCGGTGCCAGGGACTGAGGGTGGCAGAAGCCAGGCGGGCAGTAGTGGTCACACAAAGAACCACTGGACACAAACATTAGACAGCTCTGCTGGCAAGCTTGTCTGAAAAGGAAAGCAATGATGGCTTAGCTGGACAAAAGGAGACTACAAAAAGGCAAAGATGGGGAGAGAGCAAGTTTATATGTGGTGGGAACGATCCGAAAGAGAGAGGAAGGCTGAGAATGCAAGAAAAATGGGGAAAGAAGAGCCAACTAAGAGGAGGCTGGATCCTGACCAGATATGGAGAAACCAGCCCCTGACAAGAGAAACTTCATGTTCTCTGTCGTAGGCAGCTGGGCAGTTAGGTCAAGTAGGGCTTGGGAGCCAAAAGGATGGAACTTGAACATTTTTCCCCTGAAAACTGCAAGGAGCTCCTGAGGAATTTTCAGCAAATCAGGTTGGCCTTTGTGAAAGATCTCTGTGGTGAGCAGGGTCAGGAATGGATGAGAGAGCATCACTGGTACCAAGGGGCACAGTTGAAGAGCTGTAGGCAGGGGGAGTTCAAAGAGATTTAGGAGATGCGAATCACAGGTTTGGGCTAGTGTTTGATGAGGGTGGTGAGAGGAAGTTGTCCACAACAACTTCCAAGTTTTTTGTTTTTTTGTTTTTTTTTACCTGAGTGGTTGGTGAATGTGGGTTCCATTTTGGAGCACCAAAGGACAAGATTTGCTGGGATGTCCATGAGCCCACTTTTGAATAAGCTCAGTTCATGACAGAAACCTTTGGAAGGGAGCTAGTTAGAAGGATCTGGGGCTTTGAAGAGTGTTAAACGGGATGGAGATAGATTTGTGGTCATCTGTGTATGTATGGTTACCATGGCCCTTTCCGTGGCCTTGTGTTAGATGCATTCTCTGTACCAGTCCCAGTGCAGCAGAAGCTATGGGATCATTTTAGAATGGATGTCAACCATGGGGATGATATTGCAGCACCATTTTCAAGGTGCTGCAGAGTCACAGACTTTCTCAATTCACTGTGAATAGGGCTGGAGGACCTTCAGGAAGAAAAGAAAGGATAGGACAATGGTCCAAACTTTGTCAAGCTCTCCTGAGAAGAGCTATGTGGTGTTGGAGGGAGCTCAGTAGGCAGGTAGAATCCAAGGACTATCTAAGGGGAGAGGAGGCAGCTGAACCAGAAATAGTGAGCACTGGTGAGGAGAACATTTCTATTTAGAAATCAGTTGCAGAGGGAACAAGATGAGGCATGGCATCTAAGCTCTGGAATTTCAGCCTTTAAAAGACAAGTGTATTTATGCGTTAAACATGGATATTCTAAGGGCCAAGCATTGTTCTAAACACTTTATGAATAATAAGTCATGTAATGCTCTCCACAAACCAATGAGGTGGGTCCTAGGATTAGTCCTGTTTTATAGGTGAGTAAGCTAAGACCTTGTCAAGGTCATAGAGCTGGTGTACAGCAGAATCAGGCTTCACACCCAGGCAGCCTGGTTCCAGAACCTACAGTCTAACCATCACACGAAGAAGCAAAATTTTAACATAAAGACAGATGCAGGATATTCAGAAAAGCAAACATGTCAACTCCACAAGTTGTATTTTCTTTAGATTAAGTAGTAGCAGCTGCAGACAGGGGGAAAGATGATGGGCATTAAGGACAAATGAAAGATGACAAGAACATTGGGGAAACAAATTTTTAATGTAAAGGATAACTTCAGCTGACATGGATGAAAGAAGGAGGGGATAAAATTGTTCTTCAGATAGTGGCTTATTTTTAAAACATATCTCAAACTCAGCTGAGGTAAGTATTCATTCATGGTTTAAACTCATCACTTTGTAGAGACCTGGGACCTCCACCAAATAAGGATCAGGGTGAGTAAGGGGAAGCTTTCCAGAGGATCAAGGGACCTCAAACATTTTAGATCTTGAACCACTTTACACCCTTTATTTTCCCAAACTACAGAAAGAGATGGAACTTATTTTATGAAATTTACAGAAATGTGACAACAAAGCCTGACAAAGATGGCACTAAAAGAGTAAACAATATATTGATCTCACTTATAAACACAAAATGATATCTAATCAAATTTATAGAGTGTGAAAATAACAATTCACCATGATTTGAGTTTGGGGCATCTCATGACTGTAAAGACAGAAATTGTTAAATCTAACAATACTTCATATTGAAAGAAGGATCTTATGATAGTCTTAGTAGATATTAAAAAGGAAAACATTGGGCTTCCCTGGTGGCGCAGTGGTTGAGAGTCCGCCTGCCGATGCAGGCGACGCAGGTTCGTGCCCCGGTCCGGGAAGATCCCACATGCCGCGGAGCGGCTGGGCCCGTGAGCCATGGCCGCTGAGCCTGTGCGTCCGGAGCCTGTGCTCCACAACGGGAGAGGCCACGACAGTAAGAGGCCTGCGTACTGCAAAAAAAAAAAAAAAAAGAAAAAAGAAAAATATTCAAAGATAACCCCATACATTTATGGTCAATTGTTTTTCACCTATGGTGCCCAGATAATTCAACAGGGGAAAGAATAATCTTTTCAGCAAATGGGCTGGGACAACTGGATATCTGTATGCAAAAGAGTGAAGCTGGCTTTCTACCTCATACCACATATACAAATTAAAATAAAAAAGATCTAAATGTAAGAGTTAAAACTATAAAACTCTTAGAGGAAAACAGAGGTGTAAATCTTCATGATCTTGGATTAGGCAATGATTTCTCTTAGATATGACACCAAAAGCACAAGCAAACAAAAATTATATAAATTGGGCTTCGCCAAAGTGAAAAACTTTTGTGTTCAGAGGATACTATTAAGAAAGTGGAAAACAATCCACAAAATGGGAGAAATAGTTGCACGTCACATATCTGATAAAAGTCTGGTATCCAAAATATGTAAAGAACTCTTATAACTCAACAATAAAAAACAAGTATCCCAATTTAAAAATGGGCTAAAGATTTGAAAAATATTTCTTCAAAGGAGATATACAAATGACTAACAAGCATATGAAAATATACTCAACATCATTTGTCTTTAGGGAAATGCAAATCAAAACTACATGAGAAACCCACCAGGATGGCTATAATAAAAAAGGACATAATAAGAAGAGTTGGTGAGGATGTGGAGAAATTGGAACCCTCAAACAATGCTGGTAGGAATGTAAAATGGTGCCGCCACTTTAGAAAACATTCTGGAAGTTCCTTAAAAAGTCAAAAATAGAGTTACTATACAGCTCAGCAATTCTGATAATTGAAAACAAATGTCCACACAAAAACTTGTACATGAATATTCATAGCAACATTATTTCTAATACAAAAAAGTGAAAACAACCTACATGTCCATCAAGTGATGAATGGAGAAACAAAATTATTCAGCCATAAAAAGAATTCAGTACTGATCTATGCTATAACGTGAATGAACCTTGAAAATATTATTCTAAGTGAAAGAAGCCAGACACAAAAGGCTACAAAATGCATTATTCTATTTATATGAAATTTCCAAACAGGCAAATTTACAGAGACAGAAAGCAGATTGATGGTTGCCTGGGATTCAGGGAAAGGAGAAGTGACTGCTAATGGATATGGGGTTTCTTCTTGGGGTGATGAAAGCATTCTGAAATTAGATAGCAGTGATGATTACACACTTTGTGAATAGCCTATAAACCACTGAATCGCATGCTTTAAAGAGCTGAATTTTATGGTATGCAAATTAATCACAATTAAAAATGTAGTAAATACAACAATAATTCCTATATTCGTTTTAGAACTAAGGATAGAAATTTTCTTCAGATGATATAGAGTATTTATCTTAAACCAAGTAGCAAAAAATCTACAAGTGTTCCCAGTGAAATCAGGTAAAATATGTCATCTATTACAATTTTTTATTTAACATTGTTCCGGAAGTTACAACCAATTCAATAAAACATGAAACAGAAATGTTATATATAATGGACAGAAAATTCTGTTTGGTTTTTTAGAAAAAGA